CAAACCACAGCCACCCTTGGGATGGCACACAAAGAGGGTGAGCACGGAATGGTGCATCTGCAGAACAGCCTCAGCCTCTGCTGGTTTGTGGCTAAGGCACCGCTCAAGCCACAGCTCCTGCCTCCATTCACTGCTGGTTTGTCCCCTCAAACCCCTGCAGACAGTTTGTCCCCACAGCCACAACATCTCCTCCTATAGCCTTGAGGCTTCTGCCCCTGATGTCCCACCATGCTCCCAACGGGAGTGAGCAGGGTCTTTTCTGCACTGATTTACCAAAAAGCCACAGCAGCCATGTGCATGCCGGCAGCACAAAGTGAAAGGATACTAGCATGTGTGGGGGGAAAACCTCCACTCCAGCAGCTAATAACCCCTATAAAACCATAAAGTATCTCCAGAACCCACATGAGTGCAGAGAGCAAGACTGTCAGCTGCTGAGGCAGAAAATGTCCTGGCAACGTGGTGGTGAAAAGATTTAGAAAAACGCCAGTGCACTTCAAGGGAAGATAAATGTCTGTGAGCACATTTGCTCCCGGCACAGGCTCCAGCTCACTGTGGCTCAATGCATCACTTTCTTCAGGAGGAGCTGGACAGCAGTGCTCCAGAGAGAAACCAGATGTGCAAGCCCAGGCAGGCTCCAGATCAGGAAGGCTGCTGTGGTTGTCTCCATCCATCGAGGGAGAGTTTGCTGCCACCTTAGGGTCTGTCAGCACAGCTGAGGAGCTCGATCCCAGCTCCTGGGAGTGCAATATACTGGTTTGCCTGGCTGTCCATGCAGTCTTATGGTGAAGAGCACAATTCCCTTCTGGCCAAGGCCTCCAGCAGAAAACGGCTAAGGCCATACTGCAAAAAAAGTTAAAATAGTTCAGCTTCACAGTTGGGATTTGCTGGAGGATGAGTCTCTTGCTGCCAATAGAAATTTGCAGACAAAAAAAAAAAAAAGAGACAGAATTGCATTGCACGGAGAATGGTTGCTTTGAAGATAGCCAATGTTGTTGTCACATCTTGGTGACAACCTCCAGATGGTTGCACCACTCCATGAATTTGAACACCCACCAGCAAAAGGCCGGGTAGGAGTCTTCACATGGAGGCCAAGATGACCTCAGGTCCTTGTGAACTCAGTGCTATGTCTCTGTCTGCATCAGAGATGTTGTGGTTCACTGACCACCCACCTTGGCAGTGAGAGGAAGATGAAAAGGATGGAAGTGACAAGCCACCATGTCACACGTGGAGGGTCCTGCAGCAGCCAGGGCAGTGCAAGGACTTGCTGACCAGCACCTGCCAGGGCATTTGAGGGCAGGAGACCAGTGCTCCAGACAGGAGCTGCCCAGCCACAAGGACAGGAGCAGCCCCCAGGAGGGACACCAGGAAGGCAGCAGCAGAAGGACAGCCAAGTGCAGCAGAAGTATCTCACCACCTCAAAGTGTTTCAGAGCAGGTCAGTGTTTTCCAAGGAGAACTACATAGTTTGCCTCAGGAGTCTGCCGTCAGTGGAAGGATCACTTGGACAAATGATACCTGGGGGACTAAGGGGGAGAAATCTCTTCCAGGCTTAAGAGCTGAAGACCACAAGTACCAAGATGAGGGGGAAGGAGATGTTTCTGAGGAACATCTGCTCTTTAGTCCCATTTCAGTGCTATGGCCATATAGCAAAAGCTCAATACAGAGAGGGAGAGAAATCCTTGATCCTGGTGGCTGTGACACCAAGGGGTGAACACAATGGCACTGACACGTCTCTCCCAAAACCAGGCAGCTTCCCAGAGCTGGCAGCTGCCCACCTACCTCCCACCTCTGAGGGGACCCTGGCCTCTGAGGCAAGCTGGGGACAGCTCAGTCCTCAGGGACATGGTTGGGTTAGCCTCTCCTTGTGCGAAACAACTGTGTTTGGCTCTTCCTCCACCAAGAACTGGGAGAAAAAAAAAAAGAACCCACACCCCTTCCTGCCATCTGGAGAGTCAGTCGACACAAGCCAAAACATGTGTGCCATATGTACGCAGCTGTGGAGCGCAGGGCCGCCGCCGCCAGCCCATCTGTCCGGTGTGCTGCGTGCCAGGGGCTCACCCTCGGGTGGGCTGCTGAGACAGGGAGAGTGTCCCGCAGAGAGGCACGACTTCCCTTTCCTGCCCACCTCCTCCTCCTCCTCAGCAAACATGGATGGGCTCCCTACAGTGTGGCCACGGTGGGTGTGATCCTGCAAGCAATGGGGTTTTATCTCACATGTGCCAGTGAGGATTGGGTATCTCCACTCACGCATCCAAACAGGGACAGGGATGACACCTGTGGGTGTTGGGTACCAGTGGCTGAGGAAGGCTCCTGCTTCCAGCAGCTCCACATCCAGCACCTGACCCCCCACCCAAAGGAGCGTGGGGCCAGGGTCGGCTGTGTGCAAGCGCGGCACAATCCCCCGCTCCTCGCCTGCCTGTCTGCAGGGATGTATCAGTTTCAGCGCCTCAGGAAAAGCCTCCCAGCTGCTTAAGAGCCTGATATGTGATGACAAGGAGGGAACAGAGGACTAACCAAGGAACAAGAAGGGAGGCCTGCAGCAGACAGCACACAGGGATTGCCTCTTGCAAGGGGCTGAAGGCCCTTTGTATGCCCTGGCAAGCGGGAAGACAGTGCTGACCTGAGGCAAGAGAAAGCTTCCCTACTGCATGTACCTCCACCAGGGCATCTCCATGCCCCTGCTTCCCACCCGCTGGCCAAGGTGAGACAGAAAGGAACCTACTGTCTCCTGATCTGAGCTGCCCCCCAGAAACCCCTCCGCTGTCACCGCTGTGATGACGTGAGTGACAAGGCAGCGCCGTGCGTATGTGCAATGAAGATGACTGTCACCTGATGTCACGCACGGCACCAGGCACGCCGCTGGCAGCCCAACAAGGAATGAATACAAATGTCATCCAATGATGGTCGGGACAGCCAGCCCACCCCTCAGCAAATTGCTAGGAAAACCTCGCGGCAAACATTTCCCGGAGAATGATTTCTTTCTCTCTGCAGAGTGAACACAGCTCTGCCAGTATGTTCCTGTGCTGACCCTAGAGACCGGCTTTCATGGGAAGAGAGGACGGCAGCTTGTTCTCCAGGCTCTTTGGGCTCCCAGCTGAGTCCACGGCTGAAGTGATTTATAGAGACAGGGCCAAGGCCAGGAATCTGAGGCTTTTCAAGAGTTGCCCATTTCCCAAAAGAGTGCGGCTTTAATTTGTTGCCTGCCTGACTTCTGCTTGAGACTCAGCCTAGAACAAGATTGCCAGTGATTTGGGAAATCAGTGCTACTTCCCCTTGCGGTTTTGGTGGTGTAGATGTCTGTCCATGGAGAATCAGACTGACACTTCCAGGCGTGTTACACACAGTCACCAAACAACCGAAATATGGAAGCAGCTTACAGAAACAAAATATATCAAGTCTGGAGTTTGCATCTACAAGGGGCAGCCTCTCAGCACTGGGGGACAGCACCCAGCACACACTGGTTTACTGGGATTATAACAGGAGTACTGAGATCCCACCACTGCACAGTGATCGAAAACGCTTTAGTTTAGTTGTTCACCAGCGATTCTCTCCTGACATACAGCCCTGGTCTGTCAGCTCCTGAAATCTGTTTGCCAGAGTAGATGATGGGAAAGAATTAACTCTTGGGGTGCAACTACCCAGGCCACAGCAGTAGTCATTGAGAAGGGCTCCAGGCAGCATGCTGAAGATAGGAACAAGCAGATTTCCTCTAAGCAGGAGAGAGGACTGAGTCCTAAAGTGAGCACACTTGGGGAATGGCTCAGATTAGTGATGTCCAGAAGACGACAGGGAAAAAGCCTGTGTGTGTGATCTCCACTGCAAGCAGAGCACGCTGCTCCCACCAGGCTGGAGGGACCATCCTGGGAGAGGTGATGCTTAACACTTCTCACAGGCAGACTCATCTGCAGCTTACAGCCCTCTGAGCCCTGTGCATCTCCTCCTTCCTGCACACCTGGAATAGTCCCATCAACATTTAACAGAGAGGCAGAAAAGCCAGCACAGCTGGGTTTGCACAATGTGACAGTACATCTTTCTCTGTGTCTATCACTGCACTCTACACGGTGCCTACATGCAGAGAAGGCTGAGTGCAGGGGCCAGGGCACTGATTTATCCTTGTGCAGAAGATACAAGAGCCTTGCAGCTTCTATGCATCTTTCCTCGTCCTGGGGAGGTAATGAAAAGATTTTGACCAAAACCTTTCATTTATCTTTCAAAAGTGCCACCCTGACACTGTGAACATATACTTTACAGACAACCATGAGGATTTTCAAGTCCTCTCATCAAGAAAGCGCAGCACCAGACACACTTCAAACACACACTACAGTAAAAACCATGGGAAGCTATCTGGCGGAGGACCACAGCTCAGCTTGACTGTCCTTAGCACACAGGGCACATAGAATGTTTCAGAGGCTGCTGCAGGAACCCCAGGGGCCCTGAAGGATCAGACACCCTGCACCAAAGTCAACAGGAGCACGGTGCTGCCCAAATTCCCGGTGATCCCTTTGGGGCAGCTCACCGCAGCTGGACAGCTGGCAAGTACACGTGCTCTAGGTACAGGAGCATCACCCCAGCTCCCAGCTTGACCAAGTGCCTTCCTACACACTCAGCTCTCCCTCGGAGGGATTTATCGGGTTTATTTTTTGCTATCTACACCACTCTCCCTCCGGAGGAAAAAAAAAAAAAAAAAAAAAAAATAAAGTCCAAAACTTTCTAACTGCAAGCAAATTAAAAGCCCTTATTTATTTATCTTGAGTGTTAGCACACTTCTAGGGTTGGTACTTCCAGGCATTTTGAACCGACTTCCCCTCCTGTCAGGCGGCCACTCGGCTCCTGCCCTTCACCTCCCCTGGCCCGGGCGCGGGGCAGCGCGGGCGCTCGCCCATCCCCGCGCACCCTCAGCGCCCGCGGGGTCCCGACGTGCGGAGCGCGGGTCGGGCCGGCCGAGCGCTGCCCCGCCGGCGGAGCGGCCGGGCGGAGCGGCCGGCGGCGCCCAGCAGGTACCTGCTTGCGCAGCGCCTCGAAGGCGGCGCTGATGGTGTGGACGCGGGTCCTCTCCCGGGCGTTGGCCAGCAGCCGCCGCGTCTGCTGCAGCGCTTTGATCTCCGGCGAGACGCCGGACGCCTCGCCCGGCCGCGGGCGCGGGGAAGCGGCGGGCGGCGGCGGCGGGGCGGCGGGGAAGGCGCCGGCGGCGGCGGGGCCGAGCGCGGCGCTGCGCGGCTCCCAGGCGGGCGGCGGGGCGGCGGCGGCGGCGGGGGGCGGCGCGGCGGGGGCACGGAGCCCGGTCCGCCGCCCGCTCAGCACTTTGAGCTCCACGCGGAAACTTTTGCAGCCGCCGTGCTTCCGCCGCAGCCGCCGCAGCCCCCCGAGCTCGGCGGGGCAGAGGCGCGGCCAGGGCTCGCCCTCGGCCAGCGGCGCGCTCCGCATGGCGCGGGGCGCTGCGCGGCGAGGCTCAGCCGCGGCCGCTCCGCCGCCGCTGCGCTGCTGCCGATGCTGCCGCTGCTGCTGCCGCCGCCCCGCTGCCGCTGCCGCCCATCTGCGCCCGCCCGGCCGCGGCGGGCAGCGGAGCCCCGGCTCCGTCCGTCCGTCCTCCGAGCCGCAGCTCCGCGCAGCTCCCCGCAGCCTGCCTCCCGCCGCCGGCAGCCGGCCGCCGCGCAGATGAGCGGCTTTAAAGAAACAGGAAGGCTGGCCTTTTTTTTTTTTTTTTTTTTCCGTCTTTATTCCCCATCTCTTTTTTCTTTCCTT